GTACAACTTAAATATTTCAAATTGAGCCTTGAGGTATGTGTGGTTCTTACTTACGGACACTTAATAGCTTTGGCGGAAAAATTTCCTACTGAACAGCTAGGTTACTTCTAAAGAACGACCGTTGAATAGAAGTTGTGCATTTACTTTATGCAAAATTTATGGTGATTTATGCTAGTGACCGCAAAAGGTAGGTGTAAAGCAACAATCATTCATGCAGTTAATGACCTGAGTACGTCAAGTCCTGTGCAAAAATGCATAATCGCACAGGGCTGCCCGGTGCGTCCCAGCCTGGGTTGAGTATCAGATTTAGCTCTATAACGCAAATATCAAAAAAAAAAAAAAATAAATCAAGCATAAAAATAATAAGTAGGAAGCATCATTTCCCGCAGTTCTACATTTTTTAAAAAACTGAAGACGTCATGACTTTGATTCAGCGCGCTAGTGTTTCCTACTAAATCATTGGCGACGCGCACAGGGCGGGCCCCGTGTGATCATGCGTTTTTGCAATATTTCGTGCTGTAATGAGATCGCTCGGAAACTCAGTAGCTAGGAATGTATGATATACTGGTCCTCGAAGTCCGGGAAGTTATTTGTCTAAGCGATATTTGGACAGGAGACATTCCGTTGAAATTTCAGCTTTCCAAATTTTCTGCTTCTGGAGTAAGCAATTTTCCTGCCAAAAACTTTCACGGGACCATACGTGAGAACCACGCATACTCGGGAACTGAATCTAATAATTATAAGCTGTACTTGTGCTTGGAACATTCCCTGGAATTTTAGCCTCCCAGCTCTTCTGGTTCCCGAGTTAGCCTTTCTCGCGCCAAAAATTTTCATTGAGCCGTGCCTGAGGACCACACACACTGAGGGGCTGAGTTTGATAACCTTAAATCAGACTTGTGCTGGGAACTTTCCCTGAAAATTTCAGCCCTCCAGCTATCCTGATTCCTGGGTTAGCGATTTTCCCACCGGGAACCCTCACCGGGCCGTACACGGGGACCGCGCACACCTCGGAGCTGAATTTAAAATCTTTGAGTCCCATGCGGACGTGGGACATAACCTCAAAATTTCAGCTTTCTAACTTTTCTGATTCCTGAGTTAGCGATTTTCTCGCCAAAACTTTCACCCCCTCGTACGCGGGGCTCAGACTTGCGTGAGGGTTGATACCGCGGTCCTGGGGTGGCACTTGGCAGGGAAACTCACCGGCAAAATTTTGGCGCCGGAGCTTACTTGGGTGCCGAGTTGAAATATCCAAACAGACACACACGCCGCACATACACACACATACACACACACCTGGATCGTCACACTATACGTTTTTGCATTTGCATATACGCAAAAACGCATAAAAATACACTCTATAACTCACAGTTTCTTCATTTGTCCAGATGCGATATGTTACTACAAATTAAAAGCTGTTCCACATATTCGAGGTAAAAGTAACAATTTCTGACGGCTTTGGCTCACTGGAGCATTTCTTTGCAGATATCAAATAGAGCGCCACCTTGGGAAAGGCTCATTCGGGCAGGTCGCCAAAGCTTACGACACTGTTGAGCAGCAGGATGTCGCCATAAAAATAATAAAAAATAAAAAACCATTCCATGATCAAGCTCAAATCGAAATACGCTTGCTTGAGATGATGAACAGCCAGGAATCGGAAAGCAAACACTATGTTGGTACGCGTTTCGCTATTGTTTGTTCAGTGAGGTTTTTTTGAAAATTTTGCTTTGTTCCAGCTGTTGGTTAGTGCTTTCTTCGGTGAGCATCGGTTGAACCGAATATTGGGATCTCTCGAAAATTAGCGATTCTGGCTTTTTTAGAGACCTAAGCTCTTAGATAAAACAGGATTTTGTTTTTGAAAGCCTGCGCATTGATGTAACTTGGGATGGACAAGCCCTG